TTTTTTTTGTGAAGTGCTCTCTTTCACACATAAACAAGGTTCTCTCCCGTGTGTACATAAGGAGTGTGGGTTGAGAGAATAGCCAACAAATAGTGCGTAGAGTCATTGAACTGAAACCGTTGCTAGGGTCCTAACTTAGACACTGCCCAAACAGCATAGATGGTGCAGCGGCAGAGATAATCAACTAAACCAGGTTCCGCTATCTGTCCGGACAACGTCAACCGCATTTCACGCTATAGCGCGAAAGACCCACCGCCCTTGAAGGCAGTGTCCAAGCTCCTGCTACTGTACTTAGCGGACTACTTACCTCGACTTACAGGATCTTGAGTGGGGACCCAGCACGTGGGCGGTGGATGTCGCCATGACAAGCAATCCGAAGAGAGCGTCCCCCAGATACGGTATCGGGATCTAGTTAGGGGGCGAATAGCACATGCACTATCTATGCTGCCGCTTGGGCGCGTCTTAGTTAGACCCCTAAAAACGATTCGAGGTGCGATCCCCATCTGTCTCGATCTGCTTGGACGCTGCCTTTTAAGACGGTAGCCGGACTAGGTTGAGAATTTTGGTATTTCAGTGCCTTGCGGAAGTCGGCCCCCTCGGACACGCATCGCGCAAGTGCGAGGCAATAACGTTCGACGAGAAACAAGAAAAACGGTCGGAAAGTTGGGAAGCTTACGCCTTGCCGGATTCTCCATCTGTGATTAATTAATATGCGGCAGAGTGCGCATTATACTTTAGAAATTCGGAAGTTTTTCGAATAATCGAATAATCGAAAAGTAACAATATCGAATGATTGAATTTCGAATACTTTCAGAAACAAAAATGTCGATTACCATATCCAGTATTATTGAGAATCAAAAGCCAAGTAATCCAATATTAAATATTTTCGAAACAAGAAAATTGTTGAGTAATTGATATCGAATATTTTCGAAATAAAAAAATCTCAAACAATGTATAAACAGTTGCTCCACGTGTAAATCGAGCAGCATCCACAGAAGTATCTGTTTCATATCCATCCTACTCAAAAACACACAAACCTCTAAACAACAGGACAAATGCGCAATATGTCCGCAACCAAACATCCGCAGCTCAGCACCCCGTGGATCTGACATCACCAACCTCTTTCTTAAAAAATGATAGATGTGTTTTCGAGCTGGAAATTCCCGCAAACTAACCCACACACTGAGCAGTGCGATTCTAGGGTGTAGTAAACAGGCAAGGTTTGAGTTTGCAGGTGCTGCGTAAGAAGCTCGCGTACATCTCCGCGAGTCGCTTCTTGACACCCGCACTGCAGCGCGACCTTAGCTGCGTAGTCTCGAAGGACTTTGACAAGAGCATCGCGGAGACCAGGCACAGGCATTGTCGGAGGGATCTAAAATGACGAAACCCCTTTGAGATTATTTACAGAACAAAAGAGATGGTAACAGTCAGCAAGCCATGGTGCAAAGATGACATCACCTTTTCAATGACATGAAGCGGATCAATGCTACTTCCAGCATGGTTAAGTAAGTATGCTATGTGAGCGGGTGTTTCAATCACTTCCTCGATCAATCGAGCCCATAAGTCGGTGTCATCATGTTCTACAGAAATCAAGTGGCACTTATTTTAAATATGCGGATTACCAAATTGCTTACCCTGGCAGTACTCGATTGCTTTATCCAGCTGATTATATTTCTTTATCACTAAATCAAGAGCTTCCGCATGTTTCCCGCTTTTACCAAATAACAGAATCATCTGCAAGATGTTGTAAATTCAGGAAAAGACGAATGTTTGTGAATTCAAAGGACGAATGTTTGTGAATTTAAGAAAAGACGAATGTTTGTGATATGACTGAGAGAGAGCCAAAGTGGAATATTACTAGAATTACCTCTTCAACGAAGTTCTTTTGACGGCAAATTTCCAAGGCTTTCCGGATGTGGTAATTTTCATTTTTCCTCAAAAAGGGGATTAACTTCTTCCTGTCGTGATCTGCATACAGGCGAACGGCTTGGTCAGCATATTCAGCTCCTTCGTTTTTGTTGAGAAGTTTTGTCAAATAAGCTAGCTGATGAAGTTTCTCATTAGCGTAAGCAAAGTATAGAAGATACAAATGATTACCTGCAGTTTCGGCTGACGTGCTATTTTCGCCATAACCAATGAAGCAGGAACGTTGTCTTCGTTATCTAGAAGAAGTCGCAAAGCGCGATCCGTGTTAATGCGCATCAACTCAGATACCTGGTCTTTGACCTAAAACACACATTTCATACCTGACAACGCTACATCATGACAAAGTATACCTGTTCAAAGAGTTGATATTTGTCAATGACAGCAAAGATCTGCGGATCTTTCAAACTGAGGTATATCTTCAACGCTGAATCAAATTTTCTTTCGTGGAGGTATAAATGTGCCAATGCCTGGTAGAGATGAATTTCATCCTGAAATATTCCAGTAGAAGGCGAAAAAGTGCAATACACTACTATTTCGACATCAAAACATACGCTTTGGGAGGATCGATTCGACTCCAACTGGGACGAAACAATTTCCTGGATACGTTTCAACGTCAGACCAGTGATAAATCCTAAAGTTCATTTGATATCCTTTGCAATGATATGTAAAGGCATCCCCAGATGCCACAAATATCCTAGACATGGGTACGTAGGTTGAGTCACAGAAGCAAAACAACAGATTCAACTAGACGAACTAGGATAATGTGCCCATGACTTTGAAAAGGAATTAAATCGTGATTAATTGAATCTTGATTAATGAACAATGATGAGGTTTACAGCAATGAAATCTGATATGGGCTTGAATTTACCAGTTCGATATAAATCTGGGGACCACTGCTGCACTAGGCGCTTGAAGAGGTCAACATCGTTATATAACGCAGCTTGAAGTGCAGTTTCATAGCATTCCGGCTCTAGCTGTGGGTTACTTGTTGGGAGGAACTGAAACAGTACCCAAATCTAGGTAACACTTATAACCTTGCAAGTATACTACTTACTTCAGCGATAAGAGTGCACAAACGAGACCGCTCAAATGCACTGATGGCCCACTCCCATTCCGTGCTGACACTGCCACACACCTTTACTGAACGTCATTTAGTAAAATGACCGCATACGTGGAACCTTCGCTAAATCTATCGAACCTCTGCCATTCTAGCCGCTGCTTGTCGAGGTTTTCCGGTTGAAATGAGATGTTCAATCATTGCACGTCCTATAGATCTGCTATTCCATTTGGTGCCTTCGAGCTCAGCATGCTTGTCGCACGCCAATTCCCATGCTTCTTCCATCAATCCGTTTTCTACCCTCCAGCGGATGGTGTCTTCCGCACAATAAGGAGTCACCTAGCAGAATAATCAGAATATGAAAATAAAGCAAGTTTGAATAAAGAAAACGAAATAACCATAACGAGATCAGAGGGACCAGCGAGAAAGTAAGACTCGTAGCAGGGAAGACCGACCATGGCGAACTGGCAGGGTTGTGAGGAATGGTTTGCTGCTAGACTGAACTGAAGTTGATCGCAATAAGCATTATGATGCTACTTCGAACCTGAGACGATCTTCTGCCAATAGGGAGTAGGAAGAGAAATTCTTCGGTTCAAACAGACAGAACTGAACATACGGTACCGCGTCATCCGGTTTAGACTCACTAGAGCTGCTAGATATAACAGTTTGCTCCTGGAACCAAAACTCACTCCTTGATAGCGTTTCTTCAATGGTGCACAAAGATTTTTCGATGTTATGCATCAAAAACAACCCTACATATAAATGCAGTACCGAGAGAAGACTCACCGAGACTTCCGAAGGAGTATCAATAGCCATCGCTTCGCAACCATATTTCAGTCCGAACACTATGATATTGGGACACTCATCAGAATCTCCTACAGCATAAGATACTCCCGAACAAAACATATTGAGGTGCCATGAAAAATGGATCTCTGCCCTCCTAACGGCCTGGAATTGCACGATTGCCGAATCACTAAACCAGGTAGGAGCACACATTAATCAAAAAACCAGCTTTATGTTCGATAGACCCTTTTTTAACAAAATAATCTGATGAGATCCGCGAAAGCCCCAACAGTCCCCGTTCCAAAGAGCCCGAGGCCGGTGTTCCAGAACGATGATTGGATGGGCGAGCACAGATGGGCGGGCAACACTGGAGAGGGGCGGTGCTGACTTGGGTGAAAGCACATTTTGAGCCTCGTCTTGAACATAGGCTTAGTACAAAAGACTTTGATATGACCTTCATCAACCGTGAAGGATGCAGCGGTAAATTTCGAAATGAGGCAAAGAGCCACAAGAAAAAAAGCAATCGAAAGTAAACCGAAAACTGCGAGATACCGATCCTTCCACTGTTCTCACTTTTGCAATAGTGAGAGTATCCGCCCACGCGATTGCCACCAGAGTATCATCTATCCAGCAGTGTGACGGCGGATACTGGGAAGAACGAGCAAGATCAATATCATGAGATGGGGGTATGAGAGAGATCAATCGCTCTGACAGCCTGAAAATGAAAATACAAAAATCTCTAGAAACAGCGCAGTCCCACATGATAATCAGTTCCCGATAGAGAAGTGGAAGCACGCAAAAATCTTCTTCAACATTTTTGTGAGTATATGGTATGATGGATGTGAACGATGAATTCTAAGATCAAGGTGTCGCAAAAAATGTATCCAATCTTTGATTCTCAATAACTCCTTTGCATCCAAGTCTCGCCGAGCTTTTGGTACCATCCTGTAGAGCGAGGTTTTACTTAGATTACAGTATGGAGCGAATCATCTATCATTCTTCATTACTGCAGGATTATGGTAAAGACTTAGAGAAGGATTTTAGGAAAATGAAAGCGATTTTGCTTCAGATAAGAAACCAAACAAGCCAGATTCTTGTATGGACTGATCAAAGCTCCTAATTCTAGATATGTTACACTTCACTGTGATGGTTTTTTCATAAGTTATATCAAGTGTAATAACTGTTTTTCCAATATTCGTCAGAAGGGTGATCACACAATAAAAAAACTAAAAACTGGTAAAATGTTCAGTAAAATCAGCACGCCTGAAAAGCTTGCATGAATTTCCGGATTTTTTGAAATTTTTTCATTGAGAGGCCTATTCCACAGCTGCGCTGGCTCAAAGTTTAGACCGTAATCCTACAATAATGATGAGTGACAGGTGATTCCCTCCATACTGCAAAGCTAAGTTGAACCTCGCTCTACAAAACATACCTAAAGCTTGTCGAAAGACATGAAAGCAAGAGAGTTATCGAAGATCAAACGTTCGATACATTTTTCGGGGACACCTTGTATATGATATAATACCTGACCTGTCATAAATCCTTGTTCCGCCATCATTCGTGAAGGCTATGAGTGATTGCTGCCATGAACACTGCGAGATGAAACCATCTTTCTCTCCACCGGAGAAAATTACCTTGATAAACCTTCTCATTTGCAGTTTCGAACATAAAAATACTGCATACATTGTCCCTATATTTGAAGAACTTCTTCTCGTAAATGGCCAGGTTTCTTTCAGCGATTACGAACATCGGTACAGAAGCTGGTTTTGAGAAAGTTGGGCTTATGGCTATCGAACGAGGCATGACCGCCATATTTATGACCTTAATACATATGAATGAAAAATACATGT